TAAGAGGGTGGGAGCAATTAATGGGTACCGGATTTCCTTTTGGGGTAATGAAAATATTTGGAACTAGAGGTGGTGGTGGCAAAACATTGTGAATATACTAAATGCCATTGAACTGCTCATTTTAAAATGGTTAATTTTGTTATATCAATCTCACTTCAGTTTAAAAAATTATATACATACACATATATTAATCAAACATATGTTATATACATAAAACTAAAAGGGCATACAATATGCTAATAGTTTTTATGACTAATAGAATTACAGATTTTTGTTTTCTTGTTTCCTTTTAGTGAATGCAAATTTCTTTCATCATAAGGGTGAACAGTTTTGCAAAGGTGATGATATTCTAAGGACTCTCAAGCAGTACACATTCTTCTGGGGCTTCCTGGCCCTTTAGAATAAGGTAGCTTATAACCTTCTATATGATTGGCAGTATTTCAGTTCTGTTTTGTCTAGGGGTGTCCTGAGTCCAAGCAGTGGGCAGGAGGCAAGAGGCAGGAACCATAGTGATGGCAGGAGTGTGCTGACCTGCTCAAATAGCCACAACTGTAGCTGAGTCAGGAGGGCCCCAGAACGAAAGTGAGGGTTGGGGAGGAAGCCTTCCAGCCCCCCATTACTGTCCTTCCTGGGAAGGGGAAGAAACTCATGCTTTTTTCCACACCTGCTGTGAGCCTGGCACTGCTACATTGTTTTGAGGCTGCTTTTGGTTCCTGAGCCAGCCTCTGAATCTTGATGGGCCTCTGCCCACTACTCTTGAAAACGCACAGGCTGGACTGCAAGGGCCTAGAGCCTTGTACTTCTAACACGCTGTGACCCTGCACTGGTGCTACACTTCGTTCTGTTGATGGCCCCCAAAGCAATGGCAACTCCAGTTCCCCTTGTGATGAGGCTGTCGGGTCCGCCTCCCTTATTCACAGCCTGAGTGTGCCTGAGCCCATTCACCATGCCCAAGTCCCAGCCAGCTGGACTCCAGATGGCAGAGCAAGACCTGAGCTTCTCTGAATTTTAGGCTGGGGAGTGGAGTGGGGGGTGCCATGTCCTTGCTCTAAGTAGGCTGCAAGTTCTTACTCTTCACTTTCATGGGCATCACGAGTACCCTCACCCTCAACCGGTACTTCTGTTGCTTCAGGACTTTTTCTTACCTGGTTACGTTCAGAACACTTTATAAGACGATCTCTAGTTGAAACCCAATGAACAAAAATATGGTAAAGCCTGTAATTAGAAATTCTATGTAACTCTAAGGAACTAGGTTTAATTCCACTTTCAAGTCTATTAATACAACTGCATTTATAAATGCATTTGAAGTATGCCCTTTACCTGAAGTACCATCTCCAGCAAGGTCAACTTCATTTCATTTAAGGCACATCCTCAGTATCCATTCCTCTTTTCCAAATAACCTATCATCTCCTAATGCCCAGAATCCAGCGCATGCAATCTTTGACTATAGTTTGTTTCCAAAACTGTTGGCTGCAGCTTCTGTAAAGATTGACAACTTCTGCTAGAAAAAACCCTCCCCAGATAAAGCTTCTGGATGGAGGATGCCAAAATGGAAGGAAGCTAGCTCCTCATTCTCACACAGTGGATTATTAAATAGCTATTGCAAGAAATTTATAGAGAAGTAACTTGTTCAGTAGTTTAAGTAATCAATAGTCAACCCAAGGGTCTTTCAGTTCTGATTCTACCTTCTTGTGTTTGGGTGGCTCTGAACAAATGATGGTGTTTCAGTATTTTAATTTCTCATCTTTTAAAAATGGATAGTCATTTCCTGGAGCCAACGAATAAACAGTAAAAATCCTGATTTATCATAAAAATCATTGTTAAAGTTCCACAATAAGTAGTCTTGGGGGAGGGGTCAATTTGTCAAAATCTGACAGAATTTTAAATGCACATATCTGCGGACTCAGCAGTTCTACTGAGGTATGTAAAGACCTACACAAGCCTAACAGAAATGTACAGATGTTCACTATGGAATGTCACTTCTGTCTGAACTGTGTGACTAAAGAGAAAAATAAAAATAAATACATCAATAAAAACTTACAAGAATCTGTTTAATCCCTTTTCACTGATTTTCTGACCATTACTGGCTTTCAGTCTCCACATACTAGACCCTACCATTCCTCATGCTGCCACTTAAAGGTCTATCATAATTCTTCATGTTATTCCAGACCTATATTACTAGTCCCTCTTTTTCAGCAGGTGACCAGTAAGTTCAGCTGTATAGAAAGCCCAAAGCAAAGGACATGCCTAAGTGATTACACTTCCCCTGGTAGATGTGATCTATTTCAGAGCAAAACTCACTGGAAGATGGGGTTATTCATTCTGGAGTGTGGCATATTGAATTATCCGTCATTGCGTGTTCTGTGCCACGGTGTGCCATTAAACAGCAGCGTCCCTAGAACAGAGCAACAGTTTGCCCTATTACTCCAGGGAGCAACTTGGCTTAGACTCAGGGAACTTCCCAAGTTCCGGCAAGTGATAGCACTGCTGTTCACGTCTTTGCTGTTAGAAGGGGTCAAGAAATGAACCAGCTTGCATCTTTTTGTCGCACAGGTATCCAGACCATTTCCTGGCATTTCAAGTCATTTTAAAATGACAACAAACATGAAAAAAATTTAAAATAACTTACCACAACTTATTAAAAAAACAGGCTAATTACTAGCCAATGGTTCACACATGAGCAGCAGTTAATCCCGACTGAAGCTGTATTTGGTTTGTGCAAATCTAGTGACACCATCATATGCAAAAAACACCTGGCTGGTACTGAAAAAGAGCTATTTCAGGCCCTTTCAGAAGGCCTGTTGCACCAAGCAGATCTAGATCTGAACTTCTGTCAGTTTACGTGATGCCAAGCAAGGGAACTGGCCACACTCTCCACCCAAAAATTGCTATCTTGTCTTTCTAGTGCAGTTTTCAATATAGTCAGCTACCACCTAACATCTGAGCAATACTTAGAAGCCTCCAGGCAGTAAGGGAAATCTTTGCTGAACAGTTTCTGTCACACAGGCACGTTCATCTTTATCATTTAGTCTCACCCCTGTGGTGCACAGGACACACAAAAAATTTCCTTTTTCAGATTCCACTCTAAGAAAATTAGTAAATACAGCAAGTGTCAACACCTGATGGAAGATCATGAGAACAATTACAGCAACTAACGAGCAAGAGCTCCCAACCTTTACAAAGGAAAGTTAGGGAATGGAATTACTTTGGTTAAGTTTTCATCAGCATGCCAATTTTGTATCAGTTTTTCAAAGGTAAAAAATTTAGTACTAAAATGTACAATTTGCAATTAAAAATTATATATATAATTTTAAGAAAATCTTTATACCCCATAGTGCTGTAATTACACATTAAAATAGCTCCTGTGCATTCACTTTAAAAAATCTCCAGTTATAGCAAGGTTTTACATTAAATTATCTAAATTGCCTCCTACTTTCATTTACTTGTTTTGGACACCTCAGTTTCAGAATACACTGCTGAAACACCAAATAGAGCTAATATACTTTCAGAATAAAGAGGGTTTTGTCCATGTATTCCTGTCAAGACCAGAAGCCAGTTAGTTAACCCAAAAAGACCTTGTACCCATTCTCAACATCTTAAAAAAACAGCTGTCAGAAACACCCACTGAAGTCAGAGTTCCTTGAAGCAAAATTCACTTTTAAATGGATCACCTACTAGCAAGAGACAATGGTGATTCTACTATAGCAAACTATAGTAAATCAGAGAGAACTACCCGTTCCTCTAGACTAAAAATTTGATTAACTGACACAATTTCAGCCTTTCTATTGAGACCCTCTCCTTTAGCTTAGAAAATGAAGTTTAGATTTATAATCACTATCCATTCTTTACTTACATGTACCTTGCTTTAGGAAAAAAACCTTCTTGCTTAACCCAACATTCTGGAATTAAAATTAGTTTTCCCTCATTTATGTATATACAGCAGCCTGAGAACACATGAACTGTTTGGCGAAAACTTTTTATCAGCCCATTAACCTATCTTTAAGTGTAAAGTGAGCATTTTAAAGGGAAAAACTTTGCCAGCCCTCATACTTATTTAAATCATGTTGCTGAGGTATTACTGATATCAAGATTAAAATGTATGTACGTCTTAAAACCTTAAGTGAAAGCCATTTAACTAATATTTAAAACCTCTGCAATTAGTTTATTAGTATCATCCAGGACTCAGATGTTCAGTATTCCTCCTGAAATTACATCAACAAATGCAAATGGAAAGAATCCAAGTCAAAATTATATAACAAAACAGCACTCCATCACAAAAGCGTGTAAAATTACAAGAACGCTATTTTAAGACACTGGCACTTTAAGAGAACGATAATCTCAAAAACCACTAAATTGCCAAATTGTTCCCTAAACTGCTACGCAGATAAACGTATGACCCTAATGAATGAGCTTGAGTTTCGTAAAGAAAAATCAAATTCAAACAAATCAGGTAATTCGTACTGATACAAAATTTAAGTGTCTTCTTCCCTTACGTCTATTTGATTTATAAAGGGGCAAACCATAATATAGGAAAATAGACCTAATTTAAAATGTGGTCTACTATTTAAAAAGTTGGCCCAATTAATTGAAAATACTTTTAATGGAGGGTCTCAAGTTTCCTAAACAAGCCATGTTTAGATAAATAGGAGAAGACATTTACAGCCAGCACTTTTTTTCCAGAGTCTTTGCTGGGATTAATGTCAACAAAAAACTTTATCATGGCAGTCTTGTATTTTAAGCTCACGCTTTTGGGGATACATTCTCAGGTCTTCTTTCACGTGGGAACTGCAAATATAACTGCCATTACATGGTAATGGGAGTTAAAGAATGTTGAGTCCTCATGTAAAGATTAGAACATACTTTCCTATTAGTCCTTCAAGGACAGACTTTCAAAATGTTCAATTCTCATACCATGCTGAGTAGATTGGTTACTCTTCACTTTGTAAATGTAACTGGGCTATGTGAAATTTGGTATCAACTAATCAAGATTTGAGTTTCAGTTATGGATGAAAACTGTCTCAATTCAACTTTTATTACCCTTATGAGTATGCAGGGTGTGTAGACAAAAGCTTTTTATTAGCTAACTATATGAAAGATAAACACTGTAATAATTCATGTGATCCAAAATGGGCAAAAGCAAAAGACTAGCTTCCCCTTAAGAAAAATTTCAGACCTATGAAAAGGACAACAATACTAATAAAAAAAAATTGTATTTACTTAGAAGCATTCAGAATGTCAACAAAACAGCTGCAACTTTTCTTTTTTTTCGCAATTACAGAGTGGTATTCAGTTAACAGAACAACAATTATTTCGTATAAGCTGCATCAGAGACAACTGAAGATGAAAAAACTACCATCCCCATATATAACTAATTTGTGCTGTGCACCAACAAGAACCTGCTTTAAATTTCCATGCCAATTTACAACCCCCATACTGTACCAGGCAAGGTTAGTGGCTATTGAAAATACCACCAGGACAGGGCTATCTAAAGACACATTCGGTAGTGTGTTAACTATACAAAAAAAGACACTGTACAGTTTAAAAACAAATCTTACACAGCCTTACATTTCAATTTTTTTCTTTAAAAGGAGTGAGTTGTGTACAGGGGGGTTAAATGCTTTATAGACAAGAAAAAAAACTGCGCTAGAACCAACTTATTCATCATCATCATCTTCTTCTTCCTCTTCGTCTTCTTCATCTTCCTCCTCCTCCTCATCCTCTTCATCTTCTTCATCTTCCTCCTCTTCCTTCTTTTTCTTGCTTTTTTCAGCCTTGACAACTCCCTTTTTTGCTGCATCAGGCTTCCCTTTAGCTCGATACGCAGCAATATCCTTCCAAAATAAAGGCAGGGAAAAGTGGTAGGAAAGACAAAACCATTAATTAAGGGGTGAAATACAAGTGACATGGCAACACTTTATAAAAAAACAAGATGCCAGACACTAACATACCAGACTCACTCCATCTCAGACTTTGAGAAACACACACAAAAATACTATGAGATAACTGTAATTAATAATCCATAACTCACGGAATGACATGGTCTAATATTTGCAATGTTATGCCTCACTGAAGTACAATTATGCACCACATCCTCACTTTAGTTTATTAAAACTACAATGTAGAGACTGATTAAAGGGTAGACACTGCCACCTTCTGAATGCAAAAAAGCATTCTACAGGTTTATATTGTCAAACCCTAATCCACAGTAGAAAATTTTGTCTTAAGAAAAAAAGTTATTTGCCATTGAGCATGCAATTAGGTTAAGAAACATCTAGAAATTGATACATTTCTCCAGAATGACTAAATAAGCCAAAATTTAACTAATATTTCAATTAAAAACATAGGGGCTATAGCTTATTACATCAATCTACTGCATAGATCAAACTTACAATTTTCTAATTTAGTAAAGTTTTTTAATCTAAGGGAGGGAACATAAATGTTTCAGGGTGTTTATGCAAAATACAGATATTACTTTGTCCAGTGTATTTTTGTGCTGCATGCCTGATCATTTATAATAACTGAATGTGACTACCAAAATTTTCATAAATTTGGATATTGGGGAATAAGAAAACCAGCTTAAATGTATGTGGCCTTTGCCCAAGTCAAATTATCAAATTATGTTAAGTCAAATTGAACATTAACCATTTATTTGATCTTCTACATTCTTTGAGAGGTAGAAAGGGACTTGTAAGACCGCAGCCAATGAATGACACACGGAATAGCTGCTATACTAAAACTGTATCACACCTCAAACTCTTAGAAACCATAAAGTAGAAAATTAAGATGAAGCACCAAGTACAGTCATTCCTCTAACATCTGGCATACCCTTTCATCACTCCACCAAGCAAACCCGTACTTCTTACCTTTTCGTACTTTTCCTTCAGTTTAGCAGCCTTCTTTTCATAAGGCTGCTTGTCATCTGCAGCAGTGTTATTCCACATCTCTCCCAGTTTCTTTGCAACATCACCAATGGATAGGCCAGGATGTTCTCCTTTGATTTTTGGACGATATTCAGAACAAAACAAGAAAAAGGCCGAACTAAAAACAGAAATTTAATTTTATAATTTTAGATTCACTGACAAGGGTACCGTATTGCCATGTAAAAGCTGCTTCTAATTTCTACCATGCATTTGACAGGGTATAAATACTGTTAATACGCTAAATATCCCTCATAACCACAGCTTAATGTACATAATTATCTAACTTATGATACTGGTAGTTGAACATATGCTGTTCAGTAATGTTAAGAGTTCCAAAAGAACATTCTGCAAATTACTCTATTTCAGACTGATTATATTTCTCAAAAGAAAGTAAGTAAAATAAAATAAATTAAAAAGAAATAAAATAAAATTACATTTAGGAGATAAATTGAGTGAAGGAAGCAAGTATATAACTCAACTGCTCTGGCTAAAACTCCCATCCAACAAGCATTTTACTTACAATACTTAAATGTGCCAATGTGAGCCAATATCAGCCCAGAAATTTCAGTTCAGTTCCTTGAAAATAAAAACAGGCAAGATACTTACGGAGGCCTCTTGGGTGCATTGGGATCCTTGAACTTCTTTTTTGTTTCCCCTTTAGGAGGGATATAAGTTTTCATTTCTCTTTCATAACGGGCCTTGTCCGCCTTTGCCATGTCTTCGAATTTTCCTTTCTCTTTAGCAGACATGGTCTACAAAACAGTTTGTCAACTTTAAGTCCATATCAAGATTTTAATACACTGTCCTCTTAAACATTAAAATGAATATAGCCAGTGTCCTTTGCTAAATATTCTAACATCACCCACTCCCATTATGCAAATGGTACCTAGGCTTTCAAAAAATCCTAATTTGGACCTCACTCTATTACCTCCTTAGTGTGTTTTAAGCCCCTTTACCTTCCACCTCTCTGAGCACTTCTTAGAAAACTCTGAGAAGTTGACTGAAGCATCTGGGTGCTTCTTCTTGTGCTCCTCCCGGCAAGTTTGCACAAAGAATGCATATGATGACATTTTGCCTCTCGGCTTCTTAGGATCTCCTTTGCCCATGTTTATTTTTTCTAAAAAAAAAAACAAAAAACAATTCTAACGTTAACAATTAAATTCATGGCATTTAAACACTAACTTCTTGGGGAGTGAATGAAAAGCAAGACACTAGTTATTTAACACAGCATTGACATTAACCACTCATAATACCAAACAAGAAAATGGTAGTGATAGCCAATTCCTAAAGAGGTGAAACCAAGCAAAAAGCGGTCCTTCGGTGTGAGCTCAGAAAAAGTGTACACACAATGGTACACTCTTAGGTTACAGTATTTGTAATTTATCTGCCTGTATCTGTTCCGGATGAATACCTAACCGGTCATTTAAAAAACTTAAATGTAAAAAACCATTTCTAATCAACAAAACCAAAGGTCATAAAATGCTGTCGACTCATAAATCTGCACTACACAAGGAATAAATAGGTAAGAGCCAAAGTGAGTAGACCTTTCCAAATTATGGGCCTAAATCAGCACTCATTTAAAGTTCTCCCAACGATTACTTTAAAATATTCTCTTGGCGTAAAACTTCGCAGGGAGGAGGGAGCAGCAGGAAGCCCCGGTGCTCGGACCCAGGCTGGGGGGCGGCGGTGGTATTTGCGCGGCTGCCACCGCCAGGCAGCTCGTTTCCTATCGGTTTGGCCCCGAGATGTATTTCAGTTCTGACTAAACACGTCCGGTCTGAAGTTTTCTTCGAGTAAACAAGGATGAGGGACAAAAGCCACTCCTGCTCGTGGCTCGGGTTGCCCACCCCCACCCGCCAGAGGAGTATTTTTTCTGATCTGCGAAAGTTGGGGCGCCGCGCGGGGAGGCCTCCGCGCACCTTCCCGCCTCTGGGCCCCCCGCCCGCCAACTTCGGGGTCGCGAGG